CGCACTAACAAGAAAAGAAAAAGAAGGAAGGAATACCTATATGTTTAACTACATTTTGGTTTCGTTCTCGAACTTTGCACACTTTTAATTAATTTCAAATTGAGATCAAAGCATCTTCAAAGGCGGTCGGTGAGTAAGTGAATGAAAGTGTGCGGAGTTCGGCAATGAATCTTTGATTTTTACCGAAGCATAATATCCTGTACAAGATAAATGCTTGACAATGACCATATAAATAGATCGAAAAATTGTATATTTCAAAACTTTAATTTTTATAATTTTAGTAGATTTTTAACCATAAATAAAAATAAGACAAGCTGAAATTATTTTAAATTTTTATTTCTTATATAGCCTTTAATATGTATAATGCTATGCCAGTAAAAACGTGATGTAATGCGTGTTTAGAGGATGCTGTGTAAATGTCGGTGATAGAACTACAAAAAATGTAAAATTATAAAATCAGTACTTTTTATATCACTTCTCCCTAATGTCCACGGGGTAAAGGGTTAACTTGCAATTTTTTAATTAAATTATGAATATTTCGTTACATTTTTTAACTGACTTTTAAATTTCCATTCAATTTTTGTACCACTTGGTACTAAAATAACCTCAGCTACTTAACGTATATAGGTAATGCATTTGCTGGAAGTTTCAAGTACTTAAGCGCCAAATCTTAAAATTCCGAAAACCACTAAAACATGACATGATACTTCTTTTTTTAGAAGTTCAAATCGATAGAATTTTTCGGGGCTATTTCGTCATGTGTTTGTTTTCTATTAAAAAATGATTTTGTAATCGCATTGGTTAAAAAATGCTTCTTTTGGTAATTTTTAGTTGTTGTATTTTCTCTCAGTGGAATCTTAAGTGAGAAATATTTGATTGATGCACGTTTCACTGTTCAGAGTTTATTCTTTCATAAGAAAACAAAGTCTCCAAAATATTGGAAACAAGAAGAACTACCTTTCACAATTTAACAAAAGCTTTTGCAATATCTGTTAATCTGAGTGTCTAACTAAATTGTAACTAATTTAGATCCTGAAAAGCAAACGGGTTCTGTCTTTGGTATGGCTGCATGGCCTCCGTCTGTGTGCGGTATTGGTGTTGGTCTGTTACAATTATTTTTTATTTTTCTGTTGGAACGATCGTTAGGTGTTTCATCAGCATTCACAGTTTTTGTTGCACAACTATGTCGTATACCGATATTTAGTAGATTAGTACCAGAGTTAGCTAAATTTACGTATGGTCTAAAAAATGCCACACCACTCTTGTTTGCTATTGGGGCTGTAAGCGGCAGTCTGTTATCATCATGTTTATCACAAACATTTCCATTAGGAAAAGAAAATGGAGCAAATATATACAATAGTATATTAGGCGGATTTTTTTTATTAATGGGCTCAAGAATTGCTGGAGGCTGTACGAGTGGTCAAGGAATATCTGGTAAATGGAACAGTTTCAATAATTGTATAGAGTATTAAACAACACTAACCTTTTTTTTCTTTTCAGGTGTCACTCATTTACTCGTTGGATCATTTGTTGCCACGGCAGCCATGTTTGGGGGTGGAATATTGTTTGCTATCACATACTCATTTGCCAAAGTAGATTTGGCCTCTGGTACATTGTAAGACAAATGTGCAGTTTCAAAGGTCAGAGAATATATCCTCGAACATCTCTTTTTCTCATCCGGTATCACAGTATATTTTGTTTATTGTTTAAAAACAAATGAAGACTATGAAATGAAAAGAACGCGATTGTGCAGTCATCAAAGTTCAGTGACTCTTTTTCTATGTCGCGTCTAAAGATTCTAACAGTTTACATTACAAGACAGATTTTCTAATTGGATGAAAATGAATGTAAGCCTTTCATATACATTCATTCTAAATATTATCCAAAATCCGTATTTTTATTTACATAAAAACAGAATAAATACACAAATTTGATCTGAAATAATAAGAATATTACTTCTAATACGCGCCCACAAACAATAAAAAGACTGCTGAGAAAAACAACTCACGAAGTATGAAAAGGTGCAAACAAAATTTAACTAGAACTTGCTAATTTCTTTAATGGCTTTGTCTGAATTTTATATCATATCATGGAGACAATGACATATTTTAAATGAAACAATCTTTTTTCATTTAATATGAGTAAAGAAATAAAAACACAAATAACTGTACACTTAACAAACTCTTCCATTTTCTTCATATTCATTGATTTATTCTTTTTGAAGAAATATCGTTGTTACATCTTCATTCTATTTAACAAAGATTATTTGCGATTATTTTGAAAAATTAATATTGCTTATCGATAGTTATAATACATTGGATTGATTGTACAATATGATCTGTAAAAAAAATCAGTTAAAAAGTGGATTAACTCGTCCAGATTAAATCATTGGTCTTTGCAGCGTTAAGCTTGATTGGAAAACCGTTCCGTCCGAGGTTCCGTTTAGATTGTAAAAGATAGAGAATTTTATGTAGATTTTAGTCATATATTCCTTCTGAAATACGTATTTGCCGTTTTTCTACAGGATCAGAAGTGCTGAACGCTATAAAAATCTGACGGTATATTTGTTCCTGCTTGCTAATATTCAAAACATTAAAAAACATCTTTGGCCAATGAAATGATACTTATTTTTGGCAGTGTTTTGCAAAAATTAATTGACTCACTATCACCGGTGCGTCTTCTCGATCAGAATGAGCTAAAAACTTGTTTCCAAGTTCTTTTTGACGCATATTGATCTAAAACCGTGTGGTTGAATTCATTGAAACGCCTGATTTCATTTGACAGAATTGAATTCGAATAGTTAAAGGCCGTTTCCACACCGTCCCAGAATCTCATGATGAGATAGCCCCAACTCGGTCAGTTCTTATTCAATTAACCGGAAACTTTCGATGGATGCTTGGAAAGCACCTGAAAACTGGATGTTTTACTGATTTTGTTTCACTGACCTTTGATTAACTACAACACGAGAAAAAAAACTGTGCCAAGCAATTTAGAGTGATGGAAATTTTATGAATCGACGGTTTTAGCCCATGTGTTGTGGCGGGAGCCGCGATCCTGGACTGAAAGCCGGATTTCCGGGGTGTTAGTAAGTTACAGCTAGCACCTGCACGGAAGGTCAGAAATTCTGAAAGCTTCAGTGTTTATAGAGTAGGTATTAGCCTGCAAAACAGCCAAATTGAAATTGAGAGTACATCTGATCAACAAAACCAGGCAATACTTTTCCAGAAATCTCCTAGAAAACTTTCCAAGCATTTTGATTCTCAAATAGACAGATGCCACAATCATTCTCTGTCTAATGGTAACAACATGAACTCGATAGCTATCAGCGTTCCCAAGTTATTCAACAAGCAACCGAGTGCATTCTATTTTGAAGTAGACAGTAAGTTATCTGGTTATATGTAGCTTGGATCGATATGAATTAAAAAGAATAACAGCAAATATTTTCTAGATGAGATATCTGGTTTATGTGGGTGAAGAATTAAATAACTTCTATTAAACAAAAAGTGCCTTATTTCTCCTCTTTCGTTTTTTTCTTTTATTTTCTAGGAAAAGCTGTTGCACGTGCTAGTCTACAGGGCTGGGTCTACAGCCCTGTAGCCCTGTTGTTGACATGCTGTTGCACAGGACTGGGCAAGTCCGAGTCCGGACTGGAAAATTTTTCGGTGGATTTGAACTTGGACCCGGATTGGAGATTTTTTCAAAAGACTCGGACTCGAACTTGAGTTTTTGGATTTCGAATTCGCTCGATTCAGGTTCTTACATAAATCAACGGAAAAATGTTCAGTTTTTCAATATTAGTATGGGATATGCAATAGACGTTCGCTTATGTAACTTTTTCTGTTATAATAGATTGATGTGATGTACGGCATACGAGAGAAGAAATATAAATAATCAATAAAAAGATTAGAACTTATAAATAACGACAGCCAAAAAAGTTTGAAAAAATTATCGGACTCAAAATGAATTTGGGACTCGAACTCGCAACCGCGTTTCAAGGAGCCAGATTCACTTTGCTTGGTTTATAGCTTGGACCCAAACTCCGACTCCCCGAACTCCGGTACTCCCTCCCAGACTCGTTGATTCCTGCTAGTCCATGTGATAGTCTCGTTTTCTTTACCATAATGAACTGTCATAATAAACTCATCGTTTATTGATTTCTTTGTGAGACTTTTTGTCCTTGTTAGAACGCGTCTAATACTTTATTTTTATAAGAATTGTCTCTTAGAAGAGTTTTCAAGTTAAGTTTGAATTCAATAACTTGGAGACTTTTTTAGTAACTAACTTGGTTCGACTATGAGCTTTGTTGCGGATACATGATGTTTTTTTCTTATATTTTAAAAGATAACCATAAAAAAAAACAATGCCTCAATGATTTTAAATCAATAAAACTTTGTATCGGAATTATATGGCTTAGTATACTTTTTCTTAGTGTGATGCGCGCATTTTTTACATATCAAATGATCAAAAAGATTTAACGATATGCATCACAACTTGACTGTTTTTTAGTCCAAGTTATAAATTATCAAAACCTTGTTCAAGTTAGAAATGACTTAATTCGATTAGAACTGTTGTGAGTCATTGCAGTTCTCGAATGTGCATATAAGGTTTCAAGAGCAAAGCGTACGACAGAGGATATATTCAGTTTTGAGGAATCGGGCTCGAAATGAACTTGGGACTCGGACTCGCGACTGCGTTTCCAGGAGTCAGATTCACTTTGTTTGCTTTATAGCTCACAGTGGGTATTTTTCTATAGAACAGGCGGACATATGCTGTAGAACTGGTGTGAAAGCCTATAAACATGTTTTTCTATTGGTTTTCGAATATGAGGGGCTTTCAAGGGTGAGGGTGAGGGGGGCTTTCAACTGTATAATTCAGTTTGACCGAAAATATTTCTGCAGAAGCTATATATCATTCGACGTAGTTTTTCACGGTGATTCCGAATATGGCTTTATGTTATGGAAAAAGTGCTCTTATAGGGGAGAAAAACGCGAATTATCTCGAAAACCCTATGGGTTTTTGTAAAATCAATAACTCGACTTAGAAAAAAAGACGAGAAAAGATCATAAATACACGATAGGCTGAGGAACATTTTCATGTAATTAGAAGGTCTGTTCAGGCTTAGCGCTTTTTAGCGCTGTCACTGCACTGAAGTTGTCTCATGTCGGACCGTGGTAATCTAGACTACTAGACCTTTTTTCGTTTCGTACAAGATGCAGAAGGAGTACCTTCTATTATCAGAAAATGCAATAGGTTGTGCTGATTCCGAATATGTGCCTTGGATAGGGTAATATTGCACGTCTGTACATAGAAACAAGAATCTTTGCACATGTGTCATATTTGACGGTGTTTTTTGTGAATGTTCGTTTGTTGTAAGCTAACTTACTCATCGAAGGAGTTCATTACTAGTCGATCATTATATACCATTCGCTAGCGCTTTTCAAGGACTACATTTATTACTGTTCGAATTCAAAACAGCTCACTTGTCGATTTTTGCTCAAATTTCCGCCTGAATGCCCACTGTGTAGCTTGAACTCAAACTCCGACTCAGTACTCGCTCCCCAGATTCGCCGAGCCGCGCTAGTTCATGTGATAGTCTCGTTTTCTTTACCATAATGAACTGTCATAATAAACTCATCGTTTATTGATTTCTTGGGAGGTATGAGGCAACGTCCCTCTAAATGTATGATCCCTAATCTATCCAATAGAGAACACTTTCTCTTGACAAATATTGAAAATAACCAAACTTGAGCCTCTTCATAGACATTACTTTGATATACCACACTATAGCAAACAAATACACATCAAGGCTTGATTCTGACAGCTACGTTTTGATATTTACTATTTACTATTCGTCTTTATTCTATTACGTTACTTTTAGTTAGTTTTTTCAAGGAAACTCGGGATGCATATGTTCTCCCAGGCCCATAAGCAGGAGAAAAAGTCATATGAGTTGCCCCCTTCTCTAAATATGTTTTCCATTGCAAATGCTCTTTCGAGTAATATCTTATCCAATCTTTTCGGTTATCCTTAGGGATAGGAGAGGCTAAATAATTTTGTTTCGCAGAAAGTGGCTGGCGAAAAAGTTTTCAAAATTTTTGACAGATAGTTGCTTGTGGAAAAACTTCACAGATTTTAACAGAAAGTCCAAAACGTTTTTGGGGAAGGAGTCAGCACTCTCCTTAATCGGGTCTTATCATTATTTTTTGTGCTGATCTGCTAATCTGTCTAATGAAAAACACTTGACTGCAAGACTAGAGACCCGTGTGTTTTAAATGTATATGTAATGCATCAATATTGTTCATAAATTAAATCCATTTCTTGTTCTATCTATTTCTCAAAAACAAGTACAACGTCTAGAATGAGAATCTACTAGAATTGTCATTCCCATTTACAATAATAGTGTACCATAATATAAAATAAAAATAAATGAATATGCACATAAATGCGTACTTATGAGCTGTGTATAGTATGCTAGACACAAAGTCAAAAAGAAAAATAATATTCTCTACACATTAATAATCAGCAATAAATAACTCTATCATCCTGACTGAGACATTTTATAAAGAAAACAAAATTGATCCTATAAGGTGGATAAAAAGTAAGAGTTTTCATTTATTTTCATTTTTTATCTCTGAAACCTCTTTTTCTCTATTCTATATTCTATAGAGAAAACGCAATAAATATCAAAAATACTTTTTTCTATTCTGTTACATATTTAGTTTAAAGCTGCGTATTGTGTATAGACATGGCACTGTCTGTTGAATCATTACCGAGCAATCTAATGACGTTTGTGTTCTATTGCTGTGTGAAGTTTTCTTTTCTGTTCTGTTCTTTTTTCAAATTATAAAACCACCAACCACGCCATCATGATCAAATTATCACTTAGAAAGTTTCGAATTTCGATTCTAATTTCTTTCTTATACATTCGCATTTGCTCTCTTTTGTTCACTGATGAAATAAAGAAAGGTGGGTGCATGCTGAACAACAATCATGTAGACATAACATGAACACGATTAATAATGTTAAATTGCTATTGTTACCGTCTTTTAAATAAATAAACAACCTTTGATTAAAGAATGGATCTAAATTTTTAAAAATAGCTTTTTCTAGAAAAAATATGACTAAGGTCTTTTACGTATTATTAACGAAGTAGTTATTTTCTTTGTTTCATATTTCACACAAACACTATTTTATAAACGAAAGCTGATCTATAACGCAATTCTGTGTTCTGACATAGTCTATGTTTTTTGCTCTTTCTCTATCTTCCTTTTTTGCGTCTGAAAAAATGTCATTTTCTAGTCAGTTAATTGTACGATATGTTGTCCATCCACTACAAATTGTGTCTATACATCATACGTACGCTATAGACGCCTAATAATAATTTTGTTCTGTTCTATTCTATTCTATTCTGACAATACCAAAAATTATATAAAAACGTTTATAAAAGCTAGTTTTACATCTATTGGCACAGTGTAGATAATTATATAATTGCTTTATGTCAAAGAGCCCTTTTAACCTTCAGAACTTAAAGTGCATACATTTCATATTTCTCTTTCATTCCATTATTGCAGAAAGACAAACTAAAGATCGTTTCTTAATTGAACAATAAGAAACATATATACATATATATAATATATGTATGTAAAACCAAACGATAGTATAATTTGTTCTGCAGTTCTCTAATTAATTATTCATAATTGTGTAAAAATTCATATGCCATTAGTGAATGGCACGTATACCTCAAAGATCTTTTAGTTTTGATGCGAATTGTTGAGTATCTCATAACCATATACGTATATCACGTCTCTGTTTATGTATCGTACAAATGATGGTAATAATGAAAATTTTGAGAGGTAATGATTGAGAAAATAATTATTTTCATATACTTTTCCGTCGTAAACAGATTATCTTAGGATCTTATGTAACTTAGAAAAGGATATGTTCACAACATTCGAAGTGTAAATTATGTGTTCGTAGCACAAACCATACGATTTTTATGTCCAGTGTAAAAACAGCCGTGATGTGTTGTGTGATGTCGTATGAATAAGATATATGTTCATGTTTATTTATTCCTTTCTTTTGTTCGATCTGTGTGTGACATCTGTGGAAGAATAGAATTAGCAGACATCACATAATATAAATAAGGGTGAGAAAAAATGTTCCAGTACACGACTGCTGATAAAGAAACGAATAAGAAAAGTTTACGTATAGACAATAAAAAGCGTTAGCAGTCGTAGAAGACCTAAGTAGAACACAATCTTATGCACAGATATTATTAGAAAGATGAAGAAATAAATCGTGTGGATAAAGACACTCGTTTTATACTTGAAACAATTCTGATCCTTATTTTATTTTTGAAACAAATAGCAATGATACATTTTGAAAGAGGATAGCCAGTGCATTTGTCTACTTTTGAGAATATTGTTACATTGATCACATGGTGAAGCCACGTTTTCTTGCGAGGGTATTATTCGTTATGTATTATTGTTTTTCAAAATTTTTTATCTTAAACGTTATATATTGTTCTATTATCAGTCTATGTAAGTTTAAAATAAATGTTTTCAGAAATTTCTAAGTATTTAATAGTCTGCCATTTGTGCACAATATGCTAAATAAAACAAACTGTTCTCTTTTCTAGATATTATTTTGCCGTGGACTTTGAAAGAAGCAACAGATTTGAGTATAGTAATTAATACTGTGTACCACCCATTATTTTGCATTTATTTTATTCTCCAGCTTGTGAGTGCATTTTTTTCTCAATTGTTCTATTTTTCACGTATTTGTCATTACCGAACTTCGAGACAGATTTCGTGCCTCGCGAATGAAAAGATTTTCTTATCTAGAAAGTCTTTCAAAAAAAAAAAGAAGTGTAACAGAAACAAAAACGGAATTATTTGATTAATTTTATGGCAGATCTACGTAATAATGCGTTCGTTGCTTTGTAGCTAAAATATGTGGTTTGAGATATGTGTTGAGTGCGTTAGAACAGCTGATAGAAAATCACATGAAGTTACACTTTCAGATAAGTTTTTAGCAGTTGTTAGTTTTGATTTCAGCCTAAATGAATGAAGCTAGTTCAACTTATACTGTTTGTTTGCACTACATCATAACAAGATTTTCCAACTGGGCAAAAAAAGGTTTATATAGCAGTTTTTGTATCTAAGAGATTTACTGGAAGAATTTTTTTATTGAAACAAAACAGATTTTCTCTATTAGTTTTTTTAATTATGTCTGTCACTCTACGTTGTTATTTTTTTGTTGTGAAAAGAGGAATAATAAGAAAAAGGAACATGTAAGTTTATTATATTCTGTTATTTTGCGCAATTTTAGCCTTCACCTCTATGCGCATATTTTCATCGTTAGTTTTTTTTTCTGCTTCATGAGTATGTATGTGTACACACAATTATACATTTCGATACGTAGTTCAACTCTTATCCTAGTTGTTCAATCTACATGTACATGTATATAAAAGTTTTTGCGCGTTCAAATAGAAAAAGAAGAAAAAACCTCTACGTAATCCTTCTTCGTTCAAATTATACAAGAGTAGGGAAGGAAGAGAAAGTCCGACGTATAATTATACAGCTGTGCGACTGACGACTACAGCACATCTCTTATCTCATCCTCTCTTCTTGCTCTCGCCCCAACACAGACTATTTAGGCTCAATTTATATGTTACAATGTAGTTATAAACAGTAGCTAAGCTTTCTCTCTCTCTCTCTCTTTCTCTCCCTCTCTTCCTCTCTCTCTCACATTCTCTCAAGAAAAAAGAATGAGAGAATATGTTCTGTTCATTAGATCTATATGTATGTGTTATGTTCTCACATAGAACAACTTTAACATTTCTTTATAGTATTGCCGCTTATATTTTTGCGAGATGCTTTATCATAGATTTCTTTTTCTTTCTATTTTTCTCTTTTTCCTCTTGATTACTTTTTTTTTTGTATAATAAAATGTCTCGCATATCCTTTAATGCAAACATCTAATCATTTTATTTCTTTTCTTATTCAGTGTAAAAGTCTTCGTACTGATCTACTTTTTAGAATAATGTCTGTTTTTTAAAATATGTTGTTGTTGCTTAACTTGTGTGCACCTGGTCTGACCTCGTCCGTATTTATGTTATAGAATTCGTTGTATTTATTCATATTGTAAATATCTATTAAAATGACAACAACAACGTCACAAGCAGCCACAAACGGTTACGTCACTGTTCCATCTTCATTTGATCCATATTTATTTAAAATGTTACGACACTGTCATCCGTCTTCAAAATCGTCGATTCCTTATTCGTCTTCACTCACTACAAACGAGTTGATTTTACAACATGCACTTGCACAGTCATACTATAATCATAGTCATACTCACGCATCATCGGGAAATTCGACGATAAATCACAATTCATCAAACTCGAACACTCTACCTCCGAATGTTGCTGTAACAAAATCTTCTTTAGATTATGTTTCACATTATCAATCTCCGTTAGGTTCAAGAAATAATTCGTTATCATCAAAATTATGTTCAACAACGCCAAGTATAAACTCAACAACTTCAACGAATCCTATGACAAAAACGACAACAACAAATGGTAATTGGGAAGAATATTGTACAAAAAGTTTAAAAAGTGGTGCAACAAAAGAGACGTGGGATCAATGGTTGCAACCTCCACTTGGTGCAGTAATACAAGGACCATCGTGTATACAAGCAGATAAATCGGGAGAAAAAAGTGATACAACACTATGCGGTATGTTTAACTATAATATTTTTTTATATCTGCTGTAGGCCAAGGATAGGTGGATTTGTCACCATGCTTAAATCAGCCACATAGTAGCGCTTCTCTCGTTAGTTGTCTTAAAACATATTGATTTGCTCATGTTCGTTTGCTGGTCGTTTGTATACAGACCTGGATGACCTTTGAGATGAATATGTTTATAAGAGAAGTGTCTCACAGCGCGATAGTATTGACAGTCTGTGTGATGTTTTTTTTCTATTTTTTCATGCGACTATAAAATAGTATGGAGACATAGCGATTGCTCGTTTGCCGAAAGAATGAAATCAGCATGATTTTGATAAATTTAATATCATGATAATTAGAAGAATGTCTTGCTATTTTTTTAGTGCATATGTGTGTGTAGGGCAAAAGGATAGATCTATCAATTGATGCGGAAAATGTGAGCGGATAGTTAGACGTAAAATTTGAATATAAGACAACTACTAACTTCCTAACCGTGCAAACACGATTATATTCTACTAATTCCCCTCTGTTTTTGTATAGACCATTCAAATCCAAACAGTTTTTTTTTGCATTAAGTTTAGATAGAGACATTTACAGATTAATGATGGTTTTAATAATCACCTGGATAAATTATGTTGTCTCAGGTGAGACATAGTGCAATGCGAGAACGTCGGATTCACGGCTCATTAATTTTTGCACCTGTACTTAGATATTGAAGACATAATTAATTTTGCAGTTTACACCACCCTTTTTTTTTGCCTGTCAAACAAAACCATACAAAAATAGTGAGAGAGATGCTGTATGACGTCAATAAGTAAATTTTATTTTAGAATACAATCGTATTCTGTAGATTAAATCATAAAATTTGTTCGTATCGCAAATGACAGACAGATGATAGACCTGATAAACGTATGCGAACGTCACACGTATTTTCGAAAAGAATTATCTCGAACCCACGTTAAACAATACTCTAGTACTAGATCAATCGATTATCTCAAGCTAGGAGCATTTATATGGGACGAAATGCATAAATAATAGTGCTTCTGAATAAATCTTGCCAAAAACGTTAGTCAGTTATTTATAAAACAAGCTAACATTGTTCATGGCAAAAAATAGAAATCGTTGCTTCAAAACATTCAATAGTAAGTATTCATAGTTTGCACGCTTAGGATTTAACTAATTTAAAATGCTAGGATATAAGGAATATAAGGAAAGAATCTGATAAATCCATGTAGAATTGAATGAGCTGTGTTTTTTTTGCCTATTAGATCATAATAAGTAAAGACGAGTATGTTGCTAATCAAATTTATTAAGAGTTTAATGTTTGTTATTTGATTTACAAGAAACTAAATTTACATGAGATGAAAATTACAAGTGAACGTAGCTTAAGTTGTTTAAAATAATTAAAAAACACGTCGCTGTGTACTCTGATCATTTCACACATGTTTAAATAATTTTCTTTTTCTCAGTATCCTAGGAGATTTTCTGTTTAATTTAGGTTATAGTGACCCCGCTATTAAGTACGTTTTGTTTATTTGATGAAATACAAACATTCACATAGACTGAGTCAGGCGTGTTTTCAATTTTTTTCACCACATATATAAATTGTCTGGTGCAGAAAGGTCTGAAAATTATATAAGTTGTGGACACTGATAAACTTTGTCTACATCCTGATCTAATTTGAACTTCTTCAATTTATTTTTACTCGGTAAGATATAGAATTTCTAAATCAATAATTGGTTGTGCATTTAAAGGCGACAGATGATTATCAGTCGAATGATGATCAAACTGATTACATCATCTAGAAATAGTGAGAGGAGAAATCTTTTCGACACCTTCGAATGATGAATATATGAAATACAACTTTTTCTTTTTTTTGCGTAATAATATTGATTTATGGTGTTGATTACTGGACGCATTCATGCGCATAAAGTAAAACATATGTTTACAACCAAATCTCTACTATACAGACTCAGCAACAGGATTTCAAAACTCATACAGTTATTAAACATAGTCACGCGGTAAACGCAACACTTTACTATAGGACACAAAAAGTACTATTTATTACTATTCTATAAAGAATATCTGCATGTGATAACCAGTCACCTATTGTTTCATACACAATAGAGAATACCTTTTTCTAGAGTTAAGATTGAAGAAACACGTACGTCATTGTTATAAAAGTGCATATTTTTTGGTTCTCATTGCACTTTACCTGAAAAAAGTGACTGACTACATTTGTCATTGTTTCTTATCAAATAGAAACAGCGAGAAGGGATGGTATCCATCTATCCCTGTGTTTTTGTTGGTCGAGTCTCGTTTTAACAAAGCAAACAATAGAAGACGAAGCCATTTTTCTTCTCTTACTTGTTGCGTAATAAATTTCATTTTCTCGACATTGAAGAAGACAACAAAAGAATACAATTTTCTAGAGCACTGTGCAAAAGAAAGTATTAGTTACTACAAAACAAACAAAAGAAGATGGTGGCATCGGCTTACTTACCAGTATATGGTAACCAGTGATTTCTTTTTTTTTAACTTAAAAAAGGATTTTGTTTATCTAAACTCTATCGATTACTAGTTTTTGTGCCTATTTTGTTCTTGCACTTGCTTGATTATGTCAGTTTTCCAAAAATGTTTTATAAATTTATAAGAAAAAAAAATTTCGTCATAAAAGCTTATTGAACTATTGCAAGTTCAGGGAGTCACTTGACGAAGTACCTATCTCCAAAAAATATCAACTTGATTCTTTGTCATATCAGATGCTCGGTAGCTATCGTCCAGAAGAAATCGAAAAAAATTGAAAGTTTTTATTCTCTCTAAGAGGATTAGGCTGTATTTTTCGCGAGTAATTACACCCTAACCCCCTAAACTCTCGAGTATTTTTGTTGATATCGTTGCCTATGCATAAATAAATTTTCAGATCATTGACCGATACTGTTAAAGAGAAGTCTTGTCGAATAGTTGTGTATTACATACATTATTCAAATAATTGTTTCTAATTTATTCATGCGAAATATGCAGAAGAAGTAGAGAGAAAAAAGTTTACACGTACATTTGTGGTGATTGATGATGTAACCATTATACTCGAAAAATTTTATTTTTTTTTTTTATTTTAAAATGTTTATTGAGTCAGAATAAATGTACACTCCCCTCGACTCACGTTCGTTTTCGTCTATGAGCTTAAGTCGGAGTAAAACTCTTTACTACAAGCCTCTTTAATACCCTTTAGCTATTAGAATCTTGAAAAAAATGGATCATTGATTGGTGGTTAGACTTCAACCTTGAATATCAGAAATATAGGTTTTTTAAACATGGCTAAGCATTTTTTCACATCTTATTTAAGATAAGAATGGTTCGATAGTAGACGTCACCTTTCTGATTTTTACTCTTAGTCATCTTGAAGAATAAAAATGCACTCAAAAGAAAATATAGAGATAAGAGTCTGAAGATTACTAAGAGTACAATGCGCAGCATATGAAAAAAGATGACAACCCATGCAGTTGTTAATACATACAAAATAGGTATATTTAATACATACAAAATGGGTACATAGACTATTTGTACAGTCATGTACGTATACTAGGCTTGTAATAGTTAAATATTTACTTGTAAAAAGTTCACTTTTCAATATATGGCTACTTTTAGTATGTAGTTTTGCAATTTGTGCGTTCATAAGTATTTTTATTAGCATGTAATACAGTAATCTGATCTTAACGATAACTTGTGTCTAGTCACATATTTCGTTATTGCTCATCATTTTTCTGCAACAAATTTCATTCTAATTTTGTTTTAGGTGAACGTATTACGTGTTTTATCGTTGGCGGTGAAAAACGACTATGTTTACCAGAAATATTGAATACAGTGTTAAAAGATTTTTCACTCCAAGAAATTAATTCAGCTTGTGAAAAACTCCATATATATTGTTCACGATGCACAAATGATCAGTTAGATGTATTGAAAATTACTCAAGTTTTGCCATTTAATGCACCATCCTGCGGGCTTATAACACAAACAGATGCCGAGAGATTATGTGCAATATTGTTACAACAAAGATTCAAAGGACACTTATGGTCAAATCAATTTGAAAGATTGTATTCGAGTATGTACACACAAATAACGCAGTTTGATTTCACATTTATTATTAATCAGATCCTACGCGTCTACGCATTTTATTTCATTTTAATTACTTTATTTTTTTAGTTAAAGTTCAGCATAAATGTTTTGGTAAATGTTGTGGTCTATTGTATCCGACATTGTATGTTAGTCCACATGCTGAATGCATACAATGTGACACATGTCAAGCGTTATTTTCTCCCAAAACATTCGTTTCACATGGTCATAAATCCGAGGAGAATCGTATATGTCATTGGGGTTTTAATTCGGATAACTGGCGATCCTATTTGAAAATTCGATCGATAGAAGATAATAAAGCCCGAGAAGAATTAGAATTATTCAAAGAAAAATTTAGCAAAAAAAGGCCACCATCGGTAAGTAGTTTTTTTCGCTATGAAACAAGTTTTTTTTGTTGTGATATAATTAAATGAGACTATGCCCATTGTAGTTTCTTACAAAAAATGAGGATAAAAGTATAGCCTTGTTCCACCTACACATTTAAATAAATAAGGCATTATTTTTTCCCTAAGTATATGAGACTCCAATTTAATATTAACTACATAATATTCATAAGCCTGTTGTTAGCAAATAGCATTGAGTAAAGTATCCACTATAAGCAGCGTTTGTTCATAGATAGACAAAACACCTGTAATCATTTGAGCATGTCTATTCCATTCACGTAAACCCTGAATTCATAATGAGGTTGTTTTGTTGTTTTTCTTTAAACATACACAGAAAGTATGTTTTTGTTCATGACTTTTTCTCTTTTTGGTATCAAAGTAATAGAAAAACAACAACAACTAGGACGTTATTATAGAAAAAGAAGGCTGTGTTGTTGTTGTCGCCGCCGCCGCTTAGGGTAAAAAAATGTTTTCATTAACCTTGACTATCATTATTGTTTTGTCGTAAATTATCTTGAAATGAAACTTAGATGTCTTTTATTTAGAATGTGTAGACAAAAGAAGAGAAAGGATCTTTGAATAGCTACCTACACTACACTGAATTTCTAGATATAAAATACCAAATAAGGTTTTTAGAATAAAAACGGACAACATTGAAAACTAAATCTATAACTAAGCTTCTATAGTCATATTATATCGAAAAAGATGAAAAGTATTCTATTAGGTCTTGTATAGTATTCTATAGTTGAGTTTATTGTAATATCTGTAAAAACGAATCATTTGTGTGTCATAGTTATCAGAAATTTTGAAAATCATTAGAGATAATATTTATCCGTTCTATAACTAGCAAGTGAGAACGTCAACATAGCAGTTCTTTGTACGTCATTTAATTAAATCTAAAACAACGCTTTATAACTGACATTTGTGATAGAAGTCTACGGTTTTCTTGAGTCTTATTCAGTCTGTTTATCTATTTATAGCATAATACGGATTAGATTAGACATTTTACAGGTGAAATACTATTTATCAATGATTTTTTGACAGTAAACACGATAAATGGAAAGACAGTTTCTTCGGCATTGTCGTTATTGCCTGTATAATAGATGACGTTGTTAAATTTTGTTTTCTTTTCTTTACCTCTTTCTCTATCCAACAATGTATGATGAAAGTTCTGATTGAGAAAACTTAAGAAAATATGTTACATTCATTAAATTCTTATAGAAGTTATTCTAACCGTTGTTGTTGTCGTCAATAACTAAGTTTTTAAGAAATGTCATACTGTATGTTTTATACAATCAATAACTTTTGGCTTAAATATCTTGAGTAATCATGAAAAGTCGTTTGATAGAAATTCAATGATCATTTACTGAAATAATAAATCGAGAAGATTGATTTTAATCTAGATAAATAGTAGAGAGCACAGATTAATAGAACGTTCTTGTTTCTATCTTAAAACAAAATAGAGACTTCAGTGTCAAGATGAACTCTTTCTTTTTAATAAAATTTATTTTCTCAAGGAGGTCTCGTTTCTTGTGCTCAGAAAAATGTTGATGCATAAAAAAATCTGAAAAAAATAGTCTAATTAATTTTGCCATTAACAATTTAAAAATGAATAAATTTGTCTATTCAGTTGTATTATAAAAATATTTTATGTAATTAGAAAATTGACGTTGAAAATTCAACAACATACCCTATTCTAATTAGGTGTTGTAAAATTGAGTCAGGTGATAAAGCTAAATAGAATGTCACAAGATATTTTATCAAGATTGATCGTACTATTGGCGAACAGTATACATAAAAAATGTTACGTGTTGTCATGAAATGTGCACATCAAGAAATTTAGAAACGAAGTTTTTTATAATTGTGGATTTTTTAACTTATAATATTGCTAAATGGTCGTATTTCTCTCATATGTTCTGGCTGAACATAATAAGTTTGTTAGTCTCTGTCCATTGTACGTTGCTGTTCCTTACATAACCCTATATGTAAATAGATCAAGTTACATCATATACGAAAAATCATGTCCTTGACATGATTGGTAAATATGTGTATGTTAAATCTATTCTTATTATCGTCCGACCAATGGTCTTGTCATGTAATAGGTTCATTTTATTTATCTCCTTTGGCTATTATTATTATAGAGCATACATGTATGTGGTAGTTGTCGATACGTATCGCCTCTATTCTCCTCTCAATTTCTCTATTCTTTTGTATAATAATAATAAATACTTGACGTCTTTCGTTTTCTATGATGAACAAAAAAAATCGAATAACGTATTTTTTCTTCATCTATTCATTTTGTAATAGTAGTTAGAGTTACATAATAATCTATAATAATAAGATTTCGAACAATTGCCGTGATGATACAATGGCATTCTTTTTGAACATACTGTCAGCAACTCATTTTCTAACACAATCACTGGTGATGAACGCTTGTTATTAAGTAGAGACAATAATCTAAAAAGAAAGTGTGTTTGTGCACAGTATGGGGGTGAAATCAATGATGAAAGATCAAATTAGTGAAATACTTAAAATTATTTTGAACTACCTTCAACTTAATAGTTTGACTGCTAATTGATGATACTATGTTAATTTCTCAAAAATAAGTATTGAACATCAATACATAAAGTGAATAGACTGGATTGATTTCAATGGGCAATAGTTTCTTGCCTTCACACTGAAATAACAGCGAGAAATTTGCGTTTTTTCATGTATATTGTTATATTAAGCTCTTATTTAAAGTTATACTAGTAGTCATCCATACATGAGTTTTAAGTGAGCACTAATTAACATATATAGAATATCAAAGATAGTACGATCGATACTGATATGATAACATTCATTAAACACAAAAAACTTACGTTATCCATTTCTAATATGTTTTTCGTTTTATTTATCATTAAGGCATGTTCAACTCCGACAAATCCAATTGAAAAACGTTTTAAGTTATTGCCAGACTGGTCTGGAAATGCATCAGCAACAGTTTCAAATGCATCAGTGTTATTCGGTCATAATCTATTTAAAAAAGGACTCGACAACAGTAATCAAAGTAAATTAGAAGAATATCCGCCGTTTGGATTGCCTCGGTAAAAAGCTGCCTATACTCATAGAATAGAATGACATCTTTTCTCTTTTTTAGACCGGCAATAATTCCTTCCTCAAATGTACATAATGATCTTATTGTCCGAACAACGTTGAATAACGATGTGAACAGGTGTGTGATTTGCATAAAATATCACGAACATATACACTTATATTTCAATCATTTTTTCATTCTTCAGTAGAATCCGCAATGAAAAACTAAAAGATATTGAACTATCTCCAGTATCTACTTCAACTAAAGAATATCCATTAAAAATTATTCGATCCATATCACCTGATCCAATATGTTCATCAGCCGCATCGATAACAACGACAAATGCTGCCTCATTTAATGGTAAGTATTTTCATTCTCCTAATCAACTGCTACTTATGTTTTTTTGGTCTATTTAGACTTTAGTTTGGAAGGTATTAAACAAGTCGTTGAGGCAACAGTTTCTACTCAACGTAGTCGTACTCAATTAATTAATTATATATCACAATTACATTTGACATTACAAGCTAAATTAGCAACTGCATTACAATCACAAGTCGAATTACATGAGGTAACGAGATATAATAGAGACTTTTGCTACTGACAACCTCTTAAAGTACTGTTTTGTAGTTTCTTCTGATATTATCAGTATATAAACACCCACTTATATCATTCTCCTTTTTTTGAAAGATTCCATTTGGGAGACATCTGTTATTCTAATGTCGAGACTTTAGACATGCATAGCTAATCGAGAAGGCATAAATACAAATCATGTGACGTATTTTTATTCTAATTTATCTATAGCTATAGGCAAAAACAGACTTTTCCATACTTTTTGGATTCTTATTATATTATGATCTGTCTGTCTTTTGCATTTTTCGGAAGAAAATTTCTTTTCTTCTCGCGACATATGTAGAAAGATGAATAGTTGAAATAAAAAATGATTGACATGTTGGCAAACTGAAAAAAAAACACTTTGAATTTCAGCATGTTTTCAAATGCTTGTTTTACATCATCTACTGTCATGATCTTCTGATGAGTTTCGCTTCTTCATAGAACTACACTGAAACATTGACTACACTGAAACAGTGTCTTATTACTAAGGTTGAAATGTGTGAGATAACAAAACTGCTCCTCCCGAAGTGCAGTTTTAAACCATAGCAAGCTGGCCAAAAAAGCGTAACACAGCTTTTTTACAGTAAAAAAAGAATTATTCTTTGGAATATAACACTAGACTGAATATTAGATTACTCGAGAAAAAATATATTTTAAGGTCATAGTCATGATATGATGCGCATGCCTTTTTTCGAGCAGATTTCGTCTGATATATCAATCCGACTGATCTTCTTGGAGTGTAGTTTTAAACCATAGCAAGCTGACCAACAAAGCGCAACACAGCTTTTTGCTAATTATTGCATTCTAGTCTATATTAATGTTGGAAAACCGAATTTTAGCCTTCAAATTTTCGTGGATTGGCTAGGGCTCTTCGAGTTGTATCTTCTCATATATAATAGGCTAAGAATGAAGGAAATGGTAGATAAGTATAGTGGCATACTCGTAACCTGTTAAAACATTCTGCATTCTGATTATAAATAGAATTATTTGTATTCGCTAATAGTCAATCTGAAATTTGCTTTACAGTAAAACAAAGACTATTCTTTAGCATATAGCGCTAGACTAAATATTAGACAGCTCTAGCAAAAAAAAATATTTTAAGATTATAGTCATGATATGATGCGTATGTGTTTTTTCGAGGAGATTTCGTCTGATATATCAATCCATAAGCAGTCATCGAGATTGAAATCATTCAATAAGGCGATTTAGATACAGTTTTTAAAATATCTTGGATCAATTTCAAATCTTATGCGGACTTCTCCCTTTTCAGCTCAAAATGACTACTGTTTGTTTTTAAGGATCTAGAGAGTTTTCACAGGTTGATTAGTGTCAGGTTTTTTTTGTTGCCCCGTGTTCAAACAAATAAACATCATGTAATCATCATTTTTGCATTGAGTTGAGAGAGGAGAAGGTATTCAAGTTAAGACATGTTCAATGTTGTTCCCTTTTCGAGACACATTTATTTATAGGCAAAGTTAATTAATTAATAATATGTTTGGTAAAGCATTTTTAATCAATCCTTAAGGCTATTCTTCACTACTCCCCCCGCAGCTGTTAATTTTGAATAACATACCGAAAAAAGTTGTTCTAAAGCTTAATGTATTACAAAAAGAAAAATAGATCAAAAATAGAAGAATAAGTCTTTCAGATAATTTTTAACAAAAAAGGAAGATGTTATGCGTAAAGTCTATTATCTCTCATTGACGTCAGCGCTATTCCTCTTTATCAATTCCATTTATAGAATAATCAATGGTATTCACATTGAATAATACTAAAGGAATAAAGAGGCGCATTATCACACAAAAGTACAAAAATAAAGTGTCAAGTTAAGGACATATTTATGGTATGTTTGATGATGGTAACATGGTATATCCATCTGAAACACCATTATGATAATTTTGAGAATTTTACAAACTTTCTAATAATATTCAGCATCACAAGCTGGACATCCAACTTTAACTATATCAAATTCGTTTAGTTGGATCGTAAGAAAATGACTTGAAATCTAACTTATTCTTATTCTTATTTTAAAGTAAAATAGAAACTTCAGTGTCAAGATGAACTCTTTCATTTTGATAAAATTTATTTTCTCAAGGAGGTCTCGTTTCTTGTGCTTAGAAAAATGTTGATGCATAAAAAATCTGAAAAAAATAGTTAATTAATTTTACCATCAACAATTTAAAAATAAATAAATTTGTCTATTCAATCGTATTAATAATATTCTCAAAAAATTTTCCTTCTTTACTTAACTCGATGACTTAACTACAAGAGAAGATAAGTCTTGTCACTAGTGTCCAAAGTCGTTGACAAACGATAGTGCACAGTTTCATATTCCAAATACTAATGGTATATAATTGATGAATGTTCTGTTATTAAATAACTATCCAACCGGAGTTTAGACTAGAAGTCTATCATTTCGACATGTCGTTTCAGTTGTCTGTATTAATGGACGTTATGTTAAGTTGCTCTTCAGATGCTAATAATATCATCTATGAGACGTTAAATGCATTCATCAATTATTCACCTTTATTTTGTTCCATTATTTTAGCGTCAAAATTCATTGCAACATGAGAATGATAATTTACGGATAAAAATTCAAAAACTTGATCAAGAAAATTTTTCATTAAAACATCGTATGGAACAACTTCTTACATTATCATCGCCATCAAAACGAGTTCATCATGATCCGTCCGTTGATTTATATACGACACTAGCAAAAAAGTTATCAAATCATACAGGAAAACGTCATCATCATTATACTAGTAAAACAAATTCTCCACACATTAAAGATACGACAACGTCCTCATCAACAACATCAGGAGGATCGAAATATTATTCATCATCTCACAGTTCAAATTCAAATCCAAGCTCACCTATAGCGGCAGCCACCTATCCATCATTATCATCACGTTTGGGATTACTATTGGGAACAACAAACGGTCATAATAGACATGAAAATCACCAGGATGATAGCGATTCAAGAAGTTCGAGTCCAAATTCATCATCATATTCACCTCCTCAAGAACAGGAACAACAACCACAACATTATAAGAAGCGTTTTTGTTGTACGGAAACATTACAAGTAGTTGAAACAAGCTCACCACCTCTTACATTGTTACCACCGCCATCATCACAACCACAAGAAGAACAGGATCATCTTCTTAAAGAAAAGGAAACAAAAAAACAGCATAAAAAATTAGATGATATTGTTGATTCGTTAAAAGAACAACAAAAAAAACAGTTGGAAGAAGATCAAGATAGTCATGAAAATGTCGATGATGATGATTTAGAACAAAGAAATCAAGAATTATTTATCGAAGAAAGTCAAAAAGACATTGAAAATGATGAAAACGAGGATGAAATAGAAATCAACGTTGATGATGATATTGTTGTTGCGAAAAAAACAGAGCAAGATACTATCACTACAACAGAATAATAACACTACCATGTTCTTTTTCTGTGCGTTTTTTCTCTTTCTCTTGTGATCAATTAATTCGGCCTTTGTTTTCGTCATTATAATGTTTTCGCCGACTTAATTCTTTGATGTTGTTGATGTTGTATATTATTATTACTAATTAGTGAAAATATTTTGTTTTTTGCCGTCCAGCGACATGGTTCTCTCTCTCTCTCCCTCTCTCTCTATCATGTGATTGTAAAAATGAATATGTTGTGCCATTTTTTTATTTATTTGATTTTTTTCTAATGTAATGCGTCTTAGTTATGCTTTATGTTCGAGAGTGGTTGAAATATTAAGATGTGTAGAAAAAAAGAACAGTAGAAAGAGCAGAAATTCAAAGAGAGAGAAAGAGAGTGAGCCTAGATCATCATTGATTTCGAGTTTGTTTTAATACTCATCATACAGTGTAGGATAATTAGCGAAGTGACGGTCCAAAATCTCTGTATTCCTAGTTAGTTTAAATGTCATCTCATATTTCAGTAACCTCAATAAAAAAAATTACTTTTTTTATTGAAAAACGCAAATTTTGAACGGTTGATGATTATCGAGTGGTAGATGTTCAAAATAAAGAAGTTGAACCGATGTTGCCATGAGATTTTTTATTGCGTTCTGTTTTCTGAAGAATGTTGCCAGTTTTAATTATGGTTAAGGTGTTTTTCGTCTTTTTAAATTTATTGAAAAATGCAAGCTTATTGTTAGTTTTTAAAATTGTTTCTCTGTTTGTTATAAAATCTGGCAAAGAAAAAGATTTGTATTGTTGTTCGTTTGTCTCTTTTTCATTTTATGCGCTGCAGGACGGCTGTGTATGTTTGAGATTATTATTATTAATCGTTTTTTGAATTATTATTCAATTATTGTGTTTTGTTTTCTCTCGTTAGAAAAAGGTAATGTTTTTCCTTCTCTCTATGTCGTGAATGTTGTGTATAATTTTTGTTTTTCATTTAATTTGAACAGTATCTGTATGAATAAGAAAAAAATTAATTAAAAACAAATACAGTTATGTCCGGCAACTAAAGAAAGAAAAATAAGAGAAAATCTCTGTTTTTGCGAAATGTTGTTTACTTGACCGCGATATGCAGATATCCACATATGGAACTTCTCTTGTCAGTTCGTTTGTTGTTTTTGTTTTCTGTTATCATTTTTTTGACAAATTGTATAAATAAAGAAAGAAAAACCGCATTGTATCATCGAATCAGAAAACTGCATATTGGTGAAAAGAAAGAAACCATATAAACATCACATCTATTTCCGATCGAAAAATCAGCTCACCGTTGAAAATTGGTTCGATTTGACTCTCATTACAGTCGATGAAATCTTATGGCAAAGAGCATCGACTTTGCTTTCGAAGTAAATTGTTCAATGGTAAACTAGAATCAGTTTATTCTTCATCGTATGCCGTGCTAAACTGTATTTAGCGCATACAAATTTATCACTTTGGACAAACCATATCCAGAGTGCAGAGTAATGAGTGAAAAAGCACGTACGTTAAAACAAGAGTTGATATTAGAGTGGCAGCAAATGTGTTGGAGGGATAATCACAGTCACAGAACAGCAAAAAGTTGCATATTTTTGGTTTTTATAGCCGCTGCCGCACTTTGCGATCATCACTGAACTAGAAATCCTTATGGAAAATGACTGAGAAAATATGAGCAAGTTATGGTCCTATTTGACTTGACTTAAGTAACCTGCGTTTAGAACTGGGAGTCTTCACTGTTTGACGAAATGATCAATCACTTACAAAATCATTTGAAAAGAGTTCCTGTAAAATACAATCGTGAAATCCTATGTAGTTAACACAGACATGTCCCCGAAAAGGTACATTTTCAAACCGACTGTTGCGTTTTGTGAATATTACGCTGGTATCTGGCTGAACATGGAAAGGCTGCATATGCCATTTTGTAGCCCTTGAAAAGCTCTGTAAGACGAGTCGCAATTGAAAAATTCTGATGTTTAAGCTAGCGTGAAGATCGCCTTCCTTTTCTTCTACCTTTTTGGTCTTTTCGAATTTACTGCTGAACTTGTTTGCAACCACGATGTAGTTGGATCAAAACGTAATTCTTATGGTCAAGTCTTTTACCAATTTGAAGAAAAATGCTTCTTCTATCATTCTGAAAAGACCAAACAAAATTTCTAGAATAGAGAGAATGCGAGATCGAAACCTCTATTTAATCCAAGTAAGTTTTCGAGGAAAATCGGCTTAGACCTTCATCATCTAATTCGACCGACTTGTTTTGCGCGCTATGAGAAAGAACAGTTGAAAACATAGGAAAACGTGCACCAGAGTGACTTCGCATTAGAGCCCTGCAGATTACGACTTTTTGACAACCTATAACCTAACCTGCAATTTCTTCCCAAAACCTGGTTTCAGAAGCCTAAACTTCAGCTTTGTTCTATATCATTATTGTTTCTTATCTAAACACCGTCTAATAAGTAAGCGTATACAAAATAAATCATATTTTACAGGAATATAGAAATGAATCGGTTGAGTCTTTTATTCTCTAATGCAATCTTTGGAAAATAGGTTTCTGAATAGAGAGACCCTCTTAAGAGTAGACCAGAATTCCACTTTAGACTCTCGATGCTAGGAAGGTTCTGTTATTGTTGTGTATTTGCCATCCATTTTTAGCAAACGGAAGTTTTTGCTCTGTACTTCCTTTTTTGATTGTCCTATTTTTCAGTTTAAAAGTAGTTGAGTTTAAACTAGGAATGTCAGTCTGAACTGCATCCTCAATCGATAAAATTCTACTCCGACAACGCTTTATTACTCAAATTGCTGGCTGTTTTAATGTGGTCGTTCAAAATCGTTTTTTTTCGTTCAGGTTAAAAATAGGTTATCAATGCTGTAACCTACAGCCTAACCTATAAAAAATTTCATAACCTAAATCTATAGGCTAGGTTTAACCTGCAGGGCTCTGGTCAGCATCTTGTTGGTAATCGGTCTTTTAGAAGTCTTTTTAGTTCAACCTAGAGGTCTGAATAAAATAACGAATTTAAAATATATCATCATCTGTTGAATTCCAAAAACTTTGTTGAAAAGAAATGACTTGCTTGTGTAGCATTTTAGTACCAAATCGACTGTCTACGTGTTTACGAACTCGTCGATTTTTCTAATCTCAAATTTGACTTCACCAACAAAGGCTAGAAAGTTAACTCTTCAAAAATGCCCAGGAAGACTTCACAGTCTTCATTTCATAAAACGCTTCTTTTTTACTGACCAATTCTGTTGTGTGAGAATCCATCTACATCATTTATCACTACCTAACATTTTTTCAAATAAAACCATTTTTTCAGAATGCCGCTCTGGCATACGGAACTAATGTCCACATGCAACTTATCTTCACTGCGGCTGTGTATTTTGGCCCGAGGCCTTACCTCTTTAATATATATTTATAATAAGCAACTTTAACAGTGGTAAAGGTGCGCACGACACTATCACAATGTGCACATATTCTGCTTTTTCGTGGAAATCCTTTATAGTATCTATCTTTCGAAGTAACTGCTTAAAACAAATGAATTTGGTTAGAAGCAGACGCTTAACTTCGCCATAAATGCTTCCATGAATTGTTAATTTAATCCCGGTTAATTTAAAGAATTGTTTCTGAAAGTTAAACAAGTCAGCGGATGAATGAACTAAAAAGTAGAAGAAACACAAAATTTCCTCGTCAGTCATAGCAGCTTGATGATTCATCCAGATAACTCTAAGAAGGAGCACAATAATGCCAGGAGAAAACCTTCAACAATCTAATTATTCTTCATAAGGTTTAAAGTGGAACGATTTTTTCTGATCGATTTCGATGGCTATCAGCCGTTACTGATCGAATACAGCCTTCAAAAGATGATCACTATAAAGAATTTTCACGAAAAAGCAGAATATATGCACATTGTGATAGTGTCGTGCGCACCTTCACCACTGTTAAAGTTGCTTATTATAAACATATATTAAAGAGGTAAGGCCTCGGGCCATAATACACAGCCGCAGTGAAGATAAGTTGCATGTGGACATTAGTTCCGTGTGCCAGAGCGGCATTCTGAAAAAATGATACTGATTGAAAAAAACGTTTGGTGACTAAAGCTCATGTTCACGAAGTTGTGATTTTGCGGCTTGGAAGGTATTTTTGAAGAGTTAAATTTTTTAGACTTATTTGGTAATGAAGTCAAATTTGTGAATCGAGATTTCATTTGCACATAACACATTCTTTGATTATTTTTTCATGGTATCCATGTAACAGGCGATGTATCTTAATTTCATGTACCTCTTCTTTGGCACCCACCGCATCGAAACGAATGCTGCTGAGTACGGGATATTCTGTTTAATATGGAATGGGTGAGAGGACCCACATGGTAAAACGCGTTCGAATCTCTACTGGAAATTATAGTTTTTTATTACTGTCCGATCCTTCTCACTGATGGACGAAGTATCTCTTGAATATTAAAATACTTGAAGTAATTTCTGAGGAAGGAAGGTCGTTGAAGACACGAAATCTGTTAGTTGCTAGTATAGTGATAATTATAGACGATCACAGCCAACATACAGCGGAAAATCACGAGTAGCCGTGCGTATGACGGATAATTTGTACTCACATCCCATAGTGACAGTCACTAAAAATGATGCAGTTTGAATATGTGTATATTGTAATCGTCATGTGAACTGCGAAGCCTCAGACAATTTTTGAAAAACGTATAGAAATGTAAAAGTAAAAAAAGTTTGATAAACTATGTTGATTTCTTAGTCTGATTACTTGGTATAATTAGCTATTCATTTATGCTTTTTTGTACATGAAAGTGGGAACTACAGTTACTGTAGTATTGTAGCGGCAGGTCATACAAGTGACAATAACTCTGATGTACTTTTTTCTTTTTCATACAAAATGTGTTCATAAAAAATGAACAATAACAGAGTAAAAGAACGATAACAACAATCGTGCTTCAATTCTTATACCGTATTAAAAAAAACAAAGTTCATCATAACAAGCTTGAAAAAAACAGAGAAAGACGTTGATTCGGAAAGAACAAATGTGCATCACAATTGCTTGCACAATGCAAGACACAATGCAATTTTAATTACAACGAAAATCAACAAAAGATATTAAATTTCTAATTTATTTTTTAATCTGATTCATCATCTTTGTCTTTATTTTTGTGTTTTTTCTTTTTCTTCTCACTTGTTGTCGTTATCATTTCATTTCCATCAGCTGGAGTCTGAAACAAACAAATCAAAATTAAAGTTACATGGGCTGTTTTTAGATATTATATGCTTAGTGAAAATATACTGAGCAGCTTCCCTTAGAAATTATTTTGCTCCATGTATAATTTGATTTGTTCTAATTAATACGAAAATCGAAAAAGCTGTTCTAGCAAAAAAATGTCAGTAAGATACTCTAATAATAACAAAAATTTGACTTAATAGCATTTAGCTCAGTATCAACGATAGCAACGATCGAACCTCACATCCGGTATTTACCCTTGTTTTTCAAAAATTGTGCACACAGAAATGGCTGCTTCACTAAGATGAAAGGCTAATTTTACCAAACGGTATCTGTCTCTTTATATGTGCAAAATAAATGTTGACATTCTAGTTTTCCTACTTTACGTATGTTTTTACATAAAACAGAGCTCAAGAAATCATCATCATACACTCTGTTCGACCTATGTTTCCGTATAGGAATGATCATCAAATATACCTGTAGTTCCTCTGCCATTTCTTCAGTATCCGATTTCTTCTTTTTCTTTTTCTTTTCTGACCTATTTTCATCAATAGACGTAGTACTTTCATCCAATGATCTCTAAAAAACGAGAAAAAATTATTTTTATTTTAACAGCACTGTAGTAATATAAAAATAAAAATCTACCTTTTGAACAGCACTTTGCTGCTGACCAGCAGATGCTTGTTGTGCACTAAAAAAAAAGAAAAGAACAATGATGATAAACCTATTTAGTGTCAGATATTTTTACTCTTTCAATAAGACGTGAAACGTTGACCTATTTATCTATAGGTATAACCTACCTAACGTCATATAACATATCTCTCCAATTTTTAGGTGTTTTATCATTTGGTTTTCCATATTGACCGAGTATACCTTCTTTTATCATTAATTTTTTCTTAGATGCCTACAAGGGAAAATATCCAACGATCATTGGTTACATTACCATCAAAATAATGATCACTGAATTTTACTCACAACTGGTCCAAAACCCCATTTTCTCGGATATAAATCTCTTTCCATAACAACACGTTTTATTTTAGCTACAGCACCATGATCACATGTGGACATTGTCGCTGTTGTCATTAAAGCAATACCTAGAAATCGAACGAGAAATACAAATATTTTCAATAAAAATTCAGAAGTTAAAATGTTCTCTGTAGGAGAATTTATTATTTCAGTTCATAGACGACACTAAAATCTTTTTATATTCGCTAGAACACGTGCACGCACCAAGTGCAACAGCTTCTCCTTTGGTTGTACATATTACAATTTGTTCATCGACTTCTATTCCATCTTCATAACGTAATACACCAGGTAACAACAATTTTGCTCCGTAACAGACAGCATTTACCTGAAAAATAAAAATATGTGGACTCAGAAATGTAATTCTCAGAAAGAAGCACCATCCGAATATTAAAAAACAAAGATATTAGCATTACTTTCACTTCGTATATTTATGTTTAATAGCTAAACGTTTCGGAGTATACGCTACCCCTTTTTCAATAGCAAATGGAAAAATAATTATACAGAAAACTTACATCTGAAACACGATAGAGATACAAAGATCATTTGATATCGAGTGTACGTACAAATAATAATAGATATGGACTGCGCAAAAAGGAAAGAGTAAGAGCTACTCAAGTAGGGGTAGCGTATACTCCGAAACGTTTAGCTATTAAACATAAATATACGAAGTGAAAGTAATCCTAATATCTTTGTTTTTTTAAAATTCATCTGACTTCGTATTAGCGAAAACAATGAGTTTACATCCGAATATGTGTATATAAGCGGTGGTCTCTCTAATTTTGCAGCGACAATGATATCATTATTGAGTTACTTCTGTAAGTTGACCCCGTTTCGAGATGTAGAATTACTTCTTTAAATATAACTTACAGCACTATCTTTAATTATTAATCGTTTATGAGAAACTAATAATGCTTCTAACGGTTTAATAACCCGTCTCAGATACGTTTCATCTTTATTTTGAGCATACGCATATTTAGCATCAAGCACATCATGCATTGTAACCATTCCTTCCTATAAAAAAAGTTCAAATAGTAATTTTTTTCATTAAAAAAGTAAAAAATAGTTTCTTACCCCTTCTGCTTGAATTCCCGATCTCACACGTCGAAGTTCTTGCATAATACCACCAACACCCAATAATAAACCCATGTGGACACATAATGTTCGAATATATGTACCAGCTTCACAGCTAACCCAAAATATTCCTAAAACATCAAAAAAATAGCTTTATTAGAAGGTTTACAACAACTACTTATTTGTAGAGGGAAACTAATTATCTGTGAATTAATGGAGATTGAAGAAAAAGGGAAATAATGGGCATATCAGGTAATTAAGCATGAAGTTTTGAAAAAGTGCTATTCAAAACGGAACAGTTGGATCTAAGTGTGTTTTCGGTCGTTTTTTTAAATATCTTTTTGGTTTTGTCTATGAGAAGAATCTGTATTAGAAAAGTTGGTTTTTTGTATTATGAAAAGGCAAAAAGGTATTCTAATAAACGTTATATTATATTACTATATAATCAATAACATTTTGAGAGTTTATGGGCAAGATTAAATATAAGAATTTAAGAATAATTGCGGCTATCATGTTAAGAGTTTTAATAAAAGTAAAAATAAAAATAAAAAAAATTAAAACTAAAACTAGCAATTAAAATTGCAATTCGATATTTCGACTTATTGATACGGTCATATTCAAGTTGCTCTTCGTACAGAATGTTACATAAAAATGAAAACAGTATAACTGACTATATATATCTAATATTTTATTCGTCAGACTTCTATGCGTATAATGAAGAAAGGAGGAAGAAGGAGAACGAAATATAATATATGGAGAATTCTGGTTAAGTGTAAATTTTGTATTTTCTTTGTTAATAAAAATGAATGACCTTGAAGTGAAATTCCAACGTTAGTGATGAGTCATCTCAATACTAAGGATACGAACTATTGATGACAAAAATTGAGTTAAAAATAAAAATGGAAATATGAGAGATAATAAGTCTCGACAAGTAATAGATAAGCATGATGATAAAAGATTCTAAAGTTGTTGAAAACCGAGAATGAAAGAGTATACTAGACTAACCACCCGAACCTGTCCTAGGAATTCTTTTTCTATCCCACAAATTTGATTTTACCCCTTCAGAAGAATACACGTACAGTGGTACTGAACGATTCGTACCATTAAGCATGGGTAAACAAGCCCGAATAACTAACAATTCCTTGAATAGCAATTTGTACCTTTGTTTTTCTCGTAAAACAATTTCAAAGCTCTTATCTGTAATTACATGTCCAGTATTAGAATAATGCTTTCCGATGGCTGATTTTGCAACATAAACTAAGTTATTTTTTATTATATTTTCATCTTTCTTTTATATATAGCAGAGTTGCTCAACCGTTTCCTCAACTATACTCTGTTCAAACGTTGTGGTTGTTGTTTTTTATTTTTATAAAATATTTTATTAAAATTTTGAACATGATAGCCACAATTATTCTGAAATTCTTATTATTATATAATATTTTTGAAAAGGGGTGTATGAAAATTTTTTATCATTATCGTATCCGACGGCAACCAACCAGTAGAAGGAAAAATTTTGCTTTCAACAGCACTAAAGCTTACCGATATTTCGATTTTGATCGTATTCTAACAGTTTACTTTCATAAATCGTTCGAATTCTTAACTGACGTTTAACAGCAGCGATAACTGGTGGTTTTTGAAATACGGCACCAGTCAAGGATTCGAGAGTCTACAAATAAACACGAACACAATAAAATAAATTATTTTTAAGAATAAATACATCACTTACTCTAGAAACTTTTTTAACATCATCAATAGGTGAATGAAATCGGACAATTCCAATATATTCTTTTCCCGCACTTTGTTGTGATTTCACTAGACGCGTGGCTCGTTCAATACAAACAATCAGACAACCCGATACTTTTGGATCCAATGTGCCTGAATGACCTGTTTTTGTTATAGGTAATATTTTTTGTAGTATACGTTTTACCCAAGCAACAACTTCATGAGACGATGGATTTACCGGTTTATCCAAATTAATAAAACCAGATCTGAAGCACAAACAAAATATTCACATTGATATAGTACGCACCACGAGCCGTAGTATATTAGAAATACACAAAATCTAATTATAGAAATTCTTATCACAATAATTGTAATGCTGTCAAGCTTCAGAAAATCTATAGATTTTCAAAAAATATATAGATAACTGTGTCGACATAGCCATCGGTAAAATGCTGTAATTTTACTAAAAATAACTTCCTACTGATAGTCATTGAACTAGGAGCTACGAACATCTTATGACATGTTCCAAAAGTTAAATAGTCTAGAACTTATTAAAGAATGTAGACAGAGATATCACATACTTCACATAATCTTCGATAGGACGTTTCAATGGTGAACAACCAGATGGTATAGCTAAAATCATAAAAAGAGAAGGCGCACGTTAGGATTCAATTAGTTGCACATAAAAAACCTTACGTGTATAGTGATTTGTCCGAACATTAAGTTTGTCGAAGTTCTAAACAATGGAAACCATTTATATTGCAAAATAAAAACTATCTATCTACCTTGAGTAATAATGGCCAATCCGAGGTATTCAGTGAACCAGATTTATCTGAGGGTGCCAGAAAAAAATTACTTTTGTGCTGGATATCCTAGAAAATAAGAAGACTTCGTAATGGAAGCAGCATGTCCTATAATAGCTCTACTTACGGCGACTGAATTATCCATAATAGACACAATATGAATAAAAAGGTAACAAAACTATCTAAAATGAAAGAACTATTGGGTAGAATCGACAAACGAGTTCAACTTTAACAACATGCTCAATGCAATGCTAGTTCGTGTGAAGTATTTTATCTCTAGACTTATACCACATGTACTACTATATTGGCGAATACTGCGCGATATTGAGAACTAGAGAGTGGATGACAGTAAAAGTTTCAAGATTCTCAAGTGTTCAAGTTTAGTTTTCTTAAATTTATTTTCCAGTTTTGTGTAAGAAAATGACTGAAATTTTTCATACCACAAAGTTCGAAATTGATAATTGTAAATGAAAACGTTGAGTCAATAGTTTAATGACCGTTAAAATATAACTTTGTTTTATATCCATGGTTCAGAACGATTTTTAGAACTTTTTCGTTATTTCTGCCTTTAAAATTCTCCAGATATTTCAACGTTTCCTATTCGATAGCTGAAGCGCATTTTGAAATGCGAGAGTAAATGGTCACTGACTGAAGTTACCGACCTACCGACCGTATGTTCGCGTTTATCAGCCATCCAAGTACATGAAGTATACTTATCGTAGAAATATAAACGGCCAATATTTACCGAGTATGATTGATAGGCTTATTTAAACTAACTAACTAACAGACAGTTAATGGCCTCGTTAAATACTAAAAGGACTAAACGTTAAGAAGTTTTGTTAAAAAAGGAAGCTTTCGACTTCATTCATTTTTTGCAGTTCTCCAAAAAAAGTGTACAATGTCATTAATTTGTAGCTGTCGCTCGTGAGCGACGAAAGCATTAGCAAAACAGGCATGCCTGTGGTTGCAGACTGATGAATGAGATGGATGTATCCTTTTTATTAAATAAGCGAAACACGTAACGCTTGTTTCATGTTACAAATCCAAAACAGTCTCCAATTGACGGCAACTGGAAGTTTTAAAAACCTCTGGTAGTCAGTTCTGAAAAAGTTCAGAATGACACTATACGAAAAGAAAGGACATTCTTCCAGATACTCCCAAAAACCTTACATCACACCTATTTTTTCTTGGCCACGGCACTCTATTTGTTTTATATAACGAACATAGTCTCATTTTGAAGATATTTAAGAAGAACCAATATTCTGATAAATAATTCTTATGCATATTTATCGTGTTGCAAAAGTTTAGCGAAAAAATCTCACAAGATCCATGTGTTTATTTATCACCATAATTATTTGTTATTTTTATTATTATAGCTATTTTTACTTTTGTGCTATACAATAAACAATTAAAGAATAAACGCCACAAAGTATATCTATTCATTATTTACAAACATAAAAAGTGCAGTTGTTAAAACAAGAAAATAAGCAGAAAAGGAAGAAAGAAGCACACTCTTACACAAATATATGGAACTATTCTATTTTTTAAATGCCTAAAAAACTTCTTATTTCCCTCGTCTTTTTCCACTAGCGCTAAAACCACGATGACTAGTGCTGCCACGTCCACGACGCCAAAAATTTCCTTGTTCTTCATTCGAAGAAGCCGCTCTAGAACATGTGAAAATAACATTCGGTGATCAGATGATTTACTAAGGCGGTATAATAAAAAGAACTTACGAAGTTATTCCCTCTGTTGTTGATGGAGAGACGGTGGGGCTCTCAGTGACAGGTGTTACGGGTGGTGATTGTTTTGGAACCTCTGCTGATTGTGCATCACATTTTACGTCGTTTATTTGTTCGATATCAAAGAAAGGTTGTTGTTGAACTTGACCATCGTTGGAACTTGAGGTATTGATAGTAAATGGTAAGGTTTGATTTTCTGAAGGAAGAGAATACTCAGCGAAATTTAGTATTTTATAAGCCATGTTTGAAAATAAGAATATAAGTTTTTCAAACGTTGGATAGTCAACACTTGAATAAGACCATTGAACTCATAACTTATCATAATAATTATACACAGAATAAATGATTTCATCTTACCTTGGACATTCGCAAAATCGAATGGTTCTTGTTCAAAACTTTTATTCTTTTTATCAGTATCTGACGTTGCTGTTACAGCAGTGTCGTATGATTGAGAATCACCACTTGTATGACGGGAGCGAATAATTTCCTGTCCATCATTTATATTATCGCTGTTATTGGCAGGAATTGTAAGGTCTATCTGACTAGATGAGCCTTCATGGTAAATCAAATTGTTTACCGATACTGTAGGACTACGTGGACAGACTGGAGAATGCAATGGTATTATTCCTTTTAACCATGCTGATGATATTATTTGTTTTAAACCATGTTGATGAGTGGTACCTTCTAACAATTCACGATATTTTTTAACTTCATGATCTAATGTTAACTGTGATTGTCCCGAATTATTAACACCGGTTCCAGTATCTAGAACGATAAGACAAAGGCATCAACTTATAAAATCGAATTGAATTGTACCATCTGAAAACATAATAATCATTTACCTAATGCCAGTTCATATTGTTTTATTTTCTCTTTTAATTTTCCTATTTCTTGTTCTTGACATTCTTGTGTAGCTATTTGTCGATGTTCTTCATTGCCTAAAATTTTTATTAATAAATCGATTCGATGTTTAATACTGTGAACATTATCTTGAAATTCAAGCTTTTTCTCTTGTAAAGTTGATAATTCTTGATTCAAACGATGTTTTTCCATTTCATCGCGGGTAACATCGAGTTGTTGACCTTGCTGTTGCTTTGTAACATATTCATTGTAGACTTGTGTATATCGACGTTGAAAATCAGCACGCATATCACCATCTTTAGTACGATACTCATCACGACATTCACCTAATAACTTTGATGCCAAAGTTTGTCGTGAGGTGGAACTATCCAAACGAAACATATTTATTAAATCATACAAAAGATTATCACATTGAACTTGAGCTGTCTAAAATGAAGAAAAATAAAAAATACGATGTATAAAAATGTTTTAGCAACGCTAGAAGCTGAACATTTTATTTGGCTATCATTTGAGTGGTCAGTAAGTGAAATAATTAAAAAATTAGTAAATTAAATGATTGATCGGTACAATAAATGAGTGATCAGTAAGCTACTTACGGTCAGTTATTAATTAATTAGGTTTGTTAATAAATTTAAAAATCAATAAATCAAATTTATTAACAGTCGATTATATTAAAGTAGAGTAGAAATTGAAATGTATTAGTGTGATTCACTTGTTTTACAAATTTGTATTTTCTTATTGCTAATTATATATAATAAATTGACCATGTTACAATTAATTACTGATCATTTTAGTACTGACCATTCGCTATTTATACTGATCATTTACATATTTGTTTACTGGCCATTTCATCTATTTTACTGACCAAATATTATGTTCCCATTTAATTTGTTTAGTTAAAATCATCAGGTAAAGATATTTTATCACGTGTAGTTATTGAAAATGCTTAAAGGCCTTGAGCTCTTGCTAAGAAACATATCATCGGAAAAAAAATAAAGTTGATTTTGAGTTGCAGAAAAGTACTTTTTCGTATTCAGTACACTTGATAACCCAGAAGATTTATCAAAAAAAAACTTCAAATGGAAAAATAATATTAGTTGGACAATTTTTGCGCTATTTTGTTTCAAAATGTTTCCTAAACTTTTGGAAGTATCCTTCGCCAAAAATAGAAAATCTTCGGAGTTATCGACTACGCTAAATACGAAAAGGCACTTCTCAACAACTCAAAACCAACTTCATTGTTTTTTGTTCCGGTGATATGACGTAAGCGTCTGCTGACTATGCGTACTTATTGCGACAATATCGTAATAATAATATTACTCAATTTTTATTAAAAATATACTGATTCTTTACTTAAGACACGTCGGATTTGTCAAACTAATCCTATACTAATAATAAAAAAAGAACGAAAATACCGTGTAGTTGCTTAAGAAATGAATCGTGAACTTTTTTCATGAGAGAAGATGTACTATGAATATAATCCAGCTATTTTCTACATTCTATGTACAGAACACCAGAAGTTACTTTCGTACCAAAGGATTGTTTCTGTCAGTTAAACAAGAAGGAATAGTGCTTGTAAAATAAAATCTGTCAGTGAATGTTATCTGAAGAATTTGACGAGTATAAAAATAAAGATTTTGAATAATAGAACAAAACGTTCATCTTGCAGCTGCAAACATCTGATAGAATCCTAGAACGAAATATTTTCTCTAGATCCTCTAACACGAGACATAATTTACTCTACCTGTGTATCAGCTTCATGTGCTTGTACTATGATTTCTTTCTCTAATTCTAATTCATCAACATCTAATTTTAAAAGGAGATATTGTTCTTGTTCTTGTTGTATTCGTTGCGTTAATTGTTTTCGAATAGCCTCTAAATCACTTAGTTGTTTACGATAATTATCTTTATCATAATTTACATTTTCAAGTTCAAATTTTAATAATTTTGTTTGACATTCCAAATCACAATATTTACGTTGTAATTCTTTGATTATTGAACGATTTTGATCACGTTCCGTTAATAAATGATCATGACGTTGTTTTGTACTGTCTATTACTTTTTCTGAAATACAGATCATATGATGACATCAAGATCCTTAGTAGATATGTTTGATATTCGTTAAAAAAAATAGATTAAAAGATACTCACAGCAGAGATAATAGTATGCTGTAGCTCTTTTATGTCTGTTTTTAACTATTTATGTTTTTGAATATAATAATTCAGCGTTAACTCAACCTTCCTTGAAAAATAGCACTCGCTTACCTAAATTTGAATATTTCTCTTCATTATCTTGCGTTTGCCTTTGAATATATTCTAATTTTGATTTTGTTTCGTCGTCATATTCTTTTGTATATTGTGCATAGATTTCAGACGATCTTTGCTTACTTTGTTGAATATGATGTGCTTGATGTGATAAACATTCATTAAAGGATTCAAATAATCTTAGACGTTCAATGTAAGATAAAAACGTTTCATTTAATTTTTTTAATTCAGTTTTTTCATTTTGTAAACAGATCGGTAATAGATAATCTATACCAATACGATAAGCAGATAAACTAAGTTGTTGATGTGGTAATACTAATGCACAACGATCAGCGCTATGACTACGACTATGACCGGATGATATCGGTAAACGAGGACGAATATTTGAACAATAAGATTGAGAAACTAAAACAAAAACATAAATGAACGGATTTCACTTAGTTGTATAGAACTACCATGCTATGAGCGCTATTATTATAAACACCAGTTAAGTATTTAAGGAAGACCGTCAACAAAATAATCGAAATTCGAGAAATTAATGTGTGCTATTGAAATATGTCTGCAAGAAGGTTGACATTTATCTTCTTACATAAATCTCTTTTTCGCTAGTTTTCTATTTGGAGACACTCGATACTTGAGGAGCAATTAACTAACTTAACGGGTGGGACAAAGTGCATTGATTTTGTTTTTGATATAACGTTGTGATGGAATATTGTAGAAACTTTATCCTTTTTTTGTTAGAAAGAGCAAATTGTCTAGTACAAAAATATGTAAAAGTAAAGTGTTTGATCGGAGATGTTTCTCGTAGATCACAAAAATCTCAGAACGAAAGGGATCGGGAAACTGTTCCGTAACTTTTTTGAATGTAGAAAAAATTCCGCCAAATAAGGAAGATTATCTTTTTATTCGTTTTATTCCGAGTTTTATAATGTAAGGATAGGACACAAAAAAGAAATTTCCTTCGTGTTTTATAATGGTCGAAATGAGCGCTTTTAACCCTTTCCAGCCTGATGTTGCCATTTGGCAACACTTTTTACTGTGTTTTCGAAACAGCCGGCTGGAAAGGGTTAATAACATCCTGTGTTACCACCGATTTTTCATCACTGTCGATCGCAATCAAAAAGAGAAATTCTACTCCGAGAGGAAAATTGCCAGAAACCGTATACTTTACATGAAAAAGAAAGCTTATTGAGTCCTCTGCCAAACGATATTATTTGAAATGGAACACAGCTGCTCTGTGTTTTCGCGTTCTAAACGCCAACTTGAGTTTTTAATCAAACGGTTTTCTGTTCAGTCTCTTGTACTCAAGATCGACTTTTTAATACCATACGAAAGTCTTCGTTGCAATGAACAACTTCATATATATAGTGCTCGAAACCATCGAAAGTGGGGAATGAAAAAGGTCAAACAAAGATTTGGATACAAAAATTGTGACCGAAGTTGCGGAACAGTTTCCCGATCCCTTTCGTTCTAAGATTTTTGTGATCTTCGAGAAACATCTCCGATCAAACACTTTACTTTTACATATTTTTGTACTAGACAATTTGCTCTTTCTAACAAAAAAAGGATAAAGTCTCTACAATATTCCATCACAACGTTATATCAAACACAAAATTAATGTACTTTACCCCACCCGTTATGTAGGATATTGTCTTACGCGCAGTTTCTTAACTGTCTACATACAGTTACATTTTTGGTACTCGACTTCTCATCTAATGATCCTTTTCAGTGGCTGTATGAAATGATTCTGCGTTTTAAATAGAAAAAACTTACCAGAATCTGTCATATTCGAAGCGATGTTCCTATCTATAGGCAAATTAGAGTTCCCTCTTTCTTTAATGTGTTGTCTTCTTTTAATGTGCAAATGATAGATTATTTGAATAAATCGCCGCCTTTTTCTGCCATGCACATAGTATATGCTTCTCTATTTCCCCTTCTTGTGTATATATCACATGTGTCTATGTGCGTTTTTATTATTATCACTTCTTTACAACGATCAACGGAATAAAGGATGAGCGCACAGTATACAAACAAAGTTGAATGAATCTTTCAAAACCTTTTGCGAAAGTAGATATGAGAATCCAATAAAACAGATTTAGACGGACTTTGGTTAATAGTCAGTGAAAATTCTTGTTAACCGATGTGGCCTATAATTTGCCCACAATTTCACATACTAGAACTTTCTCATAATTTCTTGACTCTAGAATAGGGCGATTCTTTTCAAAGCGTACCACAGTTTACATTGACTTTGTGCGAATTGTTCGAGAGTAACAGTACAACCCGGGCTCTTGATGGCGAATATCACGTTTAAAAAATTTATAACGCTATATTTTTTTTATAAGCCAAAAGAAAAAGATGCATATTGAGAAATGAAAATTAACCGTAACAGCAAAAGAACGTTCAAACTCAAATTATAATGTATGATATTTGATCTAGAGAAAATAAAACAATATGAGCTGGCATTAGGTAAATGATTATTATGTTTTCAGATGGTGCAATTCAATTCGATTTTATAAGTTGATGCCTTTGTCTTATCGTTCTAGATACTAGAAATGGTGTTAATAATTCGGGACAATCACAGTTAACATTAGATCATGAAGTTAAAAAGTATCGTGAATTATTAGAAAATTTTCGGAGTATATGCGGTATGAGAAAAGGTTTTAATCAAAAAAATAGTCGGCTAAGGAAAACTTCTTTTTTATTCTTCTCAAAGTACGTGCTATCGGCACTGTCGTAGGTCGACTTTTTTTATACCATGATGGACTCAAAAATAACGTCATCATCTTTTATTTGTGACTAAAAAATGATTTCAAATTTAATTTCCACGTTTAAGTAACGAAGTTTTAATGCATGGCGAATAGAGCTAGAAAAGCGATACGCATGAGAAACAAGTAGACAATCTTTATACGATCGACAGACATATCATGAAAAAGTAGAATGTTTCATTCTGCAGAATTTTACTATTTGTAAATTCTGTCTGATATTTAAAAATATTCAAATGTTGCTTCCTCTAAAACGACTCCTTTATTTTACTTTTAGTTTTGCCTTACACAAAATCGAACAAGAACTACGAACGGAAATAAAACCTATTCCACGTCAAATTGATCCGTATCTATATGTTCCTGATTTTCAAAATGAAAATTTAATGGATGAAGAAAAAAAATTAGCCTTACTTTCACTTACAAATGAACGTAATAATCAACAAATGCAACTATACCATGGTGCTAACGCAGAAAGAGCCACATCCTTGTAAACAACAAACATCATGTATACCGCTACCAACACTATATTGGTTTTTATTCATTTATCGCTTTGTCTCTCTCTCTCTCTCTCTCTCTCGCTATCCAGTTCTTTCTTATTTTTGAGTTTTATTATTAACAAAACGAACTATACAATCGCGATAACACAATATGTTCAATTAAATCTTTTTATCAACTTTTTTGTTTTATATTTTTGTTGCTGATATGATTGAACATTTTCTCGTGATTATTTTTTATTTGACATTGCTAGTCAGTATTTCTCGTTTTCTATTTTTGTGGTCTTATAAATATCCTTTTTTGTTGTTTTTGTAGCTCTTAATGCTGCGAATTTTTTTTTATAAGCCAAAAAAAAAGACGCATATTTAGAAATGAAAATTAACCGTAACAGCAAAAGAACGCTCAAACTCAAATTATAACGTATGATATTAGATCTTAATGTGATTGAAAATTAAACTAATCGATAATAATTCGTTCGACTTTCAGAATTTCATTAAACTCTAATAAATAAATAAATACATAGTGCATAATATTTTTCCACAAGGAGAAAAGTAAAATTGCTTGTAATCCACTTATTAAAGTTTTAAAGTCTTCAAGTTTAAAGCCACAAAAGAGTTAAAACTTTCTGATTTTGATTATTATTCAATATAAGTTCGTCTGTCTTCCTATTAAAAGAAGTTTTTCCTACATGCTTCAATTATTCCCTAAAGTTTGTCACGATCATGTCACAATCCTGATGTTAAAGCAGCAGTCATGCAGAAAACTGTCGATTCAATCGCTAAGTACCCCGGAATGTCTAGTTCTTAGTTTAGAGAGGTGCACAGAGAAGAAGATTTCACTATGTACATGACCTTTCGTTTTTATTCACATTTTTCATGATCCACATCATTTTTGGTAATCGTCTATTTTTGGATTTCAGCTTTCCCCCAGATGAGTAACAGAAGTAACTTAGTATAGGAAAGATATAACTACAATCAGACACATTATACATTTGGTAAGTCACTCACGAGGAAACCTTCCGTGGTGAGACACTCTGTTTTTTTCGTCCATGTGCCAATCGATAGGTAATGTGGAGGTGCTAGAAAGCCTAAAAAGATTCGAGCTCTTGACTCTTGAAGACCCTGTTTCCTGGAAAACCAGTTTTTCAGAAATTTTGAAAAATAACCAAAACCTTTTCTTAATGATGCATGATTGTAGCCCGCACATTTCTGATTAAAATGAGACATACATCTACCAGCTCTACACGACCTTTCTTTGCAAAGTTATACAATTTACAAGAAAAGCCCTAAATTAATTTCTTATTTCTGTAGCTTTGAGCTGAAAATGAACATTTATGTTAGGGCTTTTCTTGTAAATTGTATAACTTTGCAAAGAAAGGTCGTGTAGAGCTGGGAGATGTCTTATTTTAATCAGAAATGTGCGGGCTACAATCATGTATCATTAAGAAAAGGTTTGGATTATTTTTTAAAGTTTCTGAAAAACTGTTTTTCCAGAAAACACATGAACGAAAAAAAACGGAGTGTCTCACCGCGGAAGGTTCCCTCGTTAGTATAAATCTCCTTATTTCAATGGCTAACTACAATGTTGGCTTTCTTCGTGTGATATCGGTGTTCAAGATTTGCTCGATCTTGTTTGATATAATTTCAGTCGATATTTGTCTTTAAATGACATTTCACATAGTCTCACACGTGTAAAATTCTGTTCAATATTATTAACAGTAACTTGATTTGGTCACATGTCAAGTTTGTGAAACGGTTTAAATATCGTTTGTTTAGAAGAAAATAAAAATGCGTTAAAACTTGCGTTTTCAATCTAAAACGTTATTTAGATTTTATGCAAATATTCAACATTTCATGCTCTCCTTTTTTTCTCAAAAGTTTGCAAAATTTCTACGTCTTTTCTACAGAGTCTTCTACACTTTGGGTGGTTAGTTCTACTACTGCACAGTGTAGTTATAATCCATTGCAGAGAAAAAGCGCTCTACACCACTCGGTCGATGTTCGAACGTTTTACTTGCATGCTTTATCATTAGTATGAGCAAATCTCCAATCTGAATAACGGATGCTTTCTTCAAAGTTATGGATCGTTCTGTCACGGTCATAAAATAACAATCCGAAACAATAACCGTCAAAGGCAAAAATCTAATTTTTTGCATGAAAATATACGCTATCGAATAGAACATATATACATGGTAGTGAATTGTAACTATATCTATAACTATGAAGCGTGTCCATACTGCTAACTGGAAAGATACAAAAAATTGTATAGTTTTACAGTGAACCGATACTCAGTCATCACAAAGAAAAGATAAAAGGAAAAAATATTTTACTTTGCTCATTTCAAGTTGCATTTTTATTCTGACTCATTTTGGCGAAACTGACACCATTTAAAAAGTCAGCAGGAACGTTTTTACGTTAGTTCCGTCAAAACGCCATCCGACATTTTTTCCGTCAATGAATGAATAGACATGGTAGTCGATTAATGAACCAGCACCGGTAACCTGCAATTTTGTTGGCTCTCTTGTTTATGAACGAAGGGTTATTCTGAATGCCTTTTAATTTATTTACTCTAAAGTTTCTGTAATTTGTTGAGAGAAATAATTCGGCGAATTTGCAATTCGAGGGAACTTAAAGAGTATAGAATAATTTTACGATTTTTGTTGTTCTTTCGAGAACGTACTACATTTACATCGACTTTGTGCGAATTGTTCCAGAGTAACAGAACTAGTACAACTCGGGCTCTTGATGGCGAATATCACGGTTAAAAAATTTTAAAGCAACGGCATGGTGATCTTCTAAATCTGTGAAAATTCCATTTCCCAGCAGAACAGACCTTTTATGGGCATTTTCACTATTTTTAGTGAACCACTTTCATGAGCTGGTACCGTCAGATTAGCTTCTATATGTGCAGAGTTATAAAATCACTATATATTTATATACAATATAATACAACATAGTAAATAACAAAAAGGATATTTATAAGACGACAAAAATATAAAACGAGAAATACTGACTAGCAATGTCAAATAAAAAATAATCACGAGAAAATGTTCAATCATATCAAAAATATAAAACAAAAAAGTTGATAAAAAGATTTAAGGAGCCCTCAGAAATTATCTCTGGCACCGTACATCCGATCTTGACGAAACTTTCCGTAAATGTTCGGCACAATGAGTTACGAGAATGAAAAGATTTTCTTGTCTCCAAGTCTTACGGTTTAGGGGTTTTTCAGAGATCAAGGTCCAAAAAGGACCCTGAACGGCGCCCCAAGATTTTTTAATATACTTCAAGCTGAAGAGTTCGGGTTTGTTTTATTTTAAACTAGACACCTAACTACATCGACTGACCGGCGCCGATTTTTCAATTAAGCCTGCGACCAACAACCTGCT